TTTATAAACTAAATATTTAACTTACAAATTAAATATTTAGTTTACAAGCTAAATATTCAACTTAAATATTTAGCTAGCTACCTAAATATTTAACCTAAATATTTAGGTAGCTACCTAAATATTTAACAAATATTTAGCTAGCTACCTAAATATTTAGGTTGCAACTTAAATATTTAGGTAGCTAGCTAAATATTCAAGTTAAATATTTAGCTTGTTAACTAAATATTTAATTTGTAAGTTAAATATTTAGTTTATAAACTATGACATTTATAAATGTATGAATCATATGGTGAAAAACTGACTTTGAAAAATAAATCTGTTCTTTTTTTCTTATAAAAGGCCAAATAAAACAAAAATATTGGTGGTAATTTTTGACTGTGTACTTTACAAACGGTACCCCATATTTAAAGACACAAATCAGTAAAATGATTTTCTTCTACAGAGAAACCACACGTTTCCACATGGAAAAAACATATTAAATGAACATGTGACATTCAGCATGAAGTGCATGTTTCTCATGTGGATTTGGAACAGAAAAACACATGAACCTGACATGTGAGAAAACACAAGATTTTACCAGTTAAAACTACATCCATCTRTACATTTTACCCATTTCTCTTTTCCTTGTCACAGCAGTGTCTCCACCACTCATTGTTTGAGAGGCACAGTATACTCTTGACATTTTTTGTCACTTGAGTAGAAAACGAAACTAAATATTAGTTTATTTAGTTTATTTATTTCTTCATCATCAGTGACTTTTTTAAGTGAAGAGAAAATAGACACAGAGAGAAAAACAGAGAGAGAAGTAATTAGAAAGATAGAAAGATTGAAGTAGCGATTAGAAGTATATTAAATATACACCAACAACACACAGGACCACACACCCAATATATACTATACTGTATACTGTATTCTATACTCTGGACATTCTAAGTCTAGTTGACATGACGTGAAACACATATTTTGTACATTTTCCAGTGAAACTTTAACACATTTTAATCTGATCTGTGGAAAATCATGCAGCCCCATTGCRAACTCCTGTGTGTTTTATTTGAGATAAGTTACAACTTTAGAGGATTGGATTGTCAAAATATTCACAAAATTGAGGTAAATAAAACTTTGTAAGCCAATTTTAGAAACAGCAGCTACCAGTGTTTGTCTTTACCTATAAAAACTGCCAACATTGGTCAACAAATTGGACGCACTATTGAGTAAAATATGCCAATAAAAGTGATTTGTTTACATTGAATGCAAACCTGCATTTCAGAAATACAGTATATCTGGAAAACTACAGAAGTAAATTGTTTCAAACAGTACCATCTGATCAGAAGATCATTTAACTCAAGGAAAAAAGTGATGAAAAGTTTGTTTGTTTTGTTGCAGTGGGTCTTTTAAACCACGTTTGTGACATTATTGCTTGTTATTTGTGTATATACAACTTTCAGCTGGGAAGCACAAATCCATGAAGACAATCACATATTTATGAATTATTGTAGATGTAATAAAAATGTGTAATCAAACTTTTTTTTTAATCAACTGAGAAAAGTTAAGCAGTTTTATTTCCAAAKGGCGGGTTGAGGAAGGAAATAAAGCTGAGTTTGACTTCCTGTAACGTGGGCTGTTGTTACGCAGCGCTGCCGAAGTGAAACCAGCTCATGTCTGCGGACGTGAGGACAAAAACAAGACAGGTAAAAACAATTAAAAAAAAAAAAGTTTATCTCCGCCTCCGCGCGCTCTCAGATAACCGGCACAGGTAAAGGAGCGGCGATGGGCGGAGCCTGGGTGAACAGGTCTTAGACCGAGGAAAGTCCCTTCAGATGAGGGTTAAAAACCAGTCCGAGTCCACCGTCAGGTCGACAAAACTGAACCAGATTTTTGTGGAGATTATCGGCTTTCCCAGCAGAAGGTGAGTTTAAACCAGCAGAAACTATCTTCGTGTTCCTGTTTTCACTTCTGTCCTCGACCGTTTTGAGCAGCTTTCGTGACCACGTTTTGCCAAATACATAAATAAATAAATAAATTAAATTAAAAATAAAGTAAAACATACACGTAAATAACATTTTGTTACACAAAACTATTAAATGGTTGTGCAAATTTACAAAAAATAATTAAATAAATAAATAAAACTTTGTACATGCTGTACAGTATAGTTCAGTTAGGGTTTATTTATTTATTTATTTTGCAGCTTCTTATTTCCGGGATGCATCTGAGTATGATTATCTTATCTTAAGCTGTTGTAATTATGTTTAATATTTATTGATTATTTATTGGAATCACTGTTACATTAAGACCTACATAGCTTTTTAAAGTATGAATGAATAAATAAATAAACAATTAATTTGCTACAGCGTAAAACAATAAACTTACTTTATTTATCATTTCTAATTTAAATCTACCGTATTTGAAAATCATGTTCTGTTCGCTAAATGTTGTTATTAATCATTCAAAACGTCTGAGTTTGTTCACCATGGGAACAAAATTACCAAAATGCATATAGGCTTGTATCACCATCAACATAAAACTATGTCATTTGCTCAACTATGGCAATTATTGAGGTTTCCTGATGGTGTCTCCCAATAGGAAGTATAAAAAAATCAACCAAAACAGTTTGACCTAAAACAGACCCTTGAGGAATACCATAATTAATTATTATTTTTTATGTGTTGATTAATTTTAACAAAAAAACTGTCGTCATACAATGAAGATTTGAACCATTTAAGTAACCATCTAAGCTGTATTTAGGTCAAGCACAACTACTAATAGTATAATTATAATTAATTGTTTCAAAGCTTTGCATATTTTTCTTGAAATTYTATGTAAAATTAACTGATTTTTGACTTTGAATGGCTCAGATTTGATGCAAAGATAGTTACTTTTTTTGTATGTCTCCATGTTTATTTTTTCCTTCTCAGAGCCCACCATGGAACCACAAACAGAAAAACAACGGCCTCCTCATGGCCAGCTCATCTCCGTGCCTCATAAAGACACAATTCGGCTCCTGGAGGTGTACGTCAAGCGTAGCCTCAGCCTGAACGACGGCTCGCTGGGGCTGAAGCGGTCAGGGAAGAAAGAAAAGTGGGTGACCATGGCCAGAAAGCACAGGCGATCCTCCAGCGACCCTTCCCTTTTCTTGGCCAACGAAATAAAACCCGGAGACTCCGAGGTGTTTCGTGCGGCCGAGTCATTGTCAGATGTGCCCGAAAAACCTCCAGAAGACCTCGAGAAATCAAAAAAGCCAAAGAAGAATAAGAAGCCTTCGTTTTTAAAAACCTTTTTTGGCTTTTTCACACGAAAGAATGACGAAGACAGCGAAGAAGATCCAAACGATTCAGCAGAGGTTTCTGTTGCCTCTGAAGCAGTGACTACCTGCCTGCCGACACCTCCRGTTACTTTACAAAAGAAGTCCACGAGAAAAAGTTCTTTAAAGAGAAAAATGTCCAAAAGGCTTAGTAAAAGAGCAAGTAAACTTCTAAATCCTGCTGATATCACTGGAGTAGGAGGCAAGTCTGATTATTACCTGTATTTGTGATGTTTTTTTTATTCAGTCCCTTACAGAAAAACAACATGAATTTCACTTGAAAAAGTCACACTTTATGTGTAAAAACACAAAAAAAATAATACATGCAACATGCTGCACATATGTTTCTGATAAACTGATAAATTCATGTTTTTTTTATATAAGACCAGATTAAGATGCAGTTGATTTATCTGCAAGCTATTGATATGCATGTTCAATAATGACTGAACTTCTGCTCAACAGCTGTCATCAGTGTCGAACCAACGTATGCATATTATGAAAAAGTGTCAGAAGAGCTCGAAAAGATTGTGCATGAAGTCAAAGAAAAAGAGGAAGTCGAAGTTCTTTCAGATGGTAAGGAACGACTTCTCCTTATGTTAATTTAGCGGGTTTGAAAGTAGATTGGTACAGACAAAAACTTGAAAGTTAGGTTAAAACTAAAATGTGGTAAAAACTAACTATTAAAACCTATCCCTTGTAATAATGATCCCTATTCTTCATTTTTTTTGTTTGGTTTYAGCTGAGGTTCTCAACAGGCTCATCGCTTTGACGAAAGAGCAGGGCGACGCCATGGATGACAAGGTTGGTTTTACTTTATCTCAGAGGAAAAGTGTTAGCAGCAATTTAAACGTGTATTGCACGTATATAAACAAACACACTTGCAAATCATGCTTTTAGGTTAATGTTGAGTCAGCATTTACACTATTAGTGTTTAGTAGGGCTGTGTATTGGCAAGAATTTGGCGATACAATACATATCATGACAGAGGGGTCACGATACGATATATCCTGATATATTGCGATACTGTAAGCAAGGCAATATATTGCGATGTTTTTTTTTGTCCAAAAATTCTATTAAATACCTGTCTTCTGTAACGTTGGAAAAAAGAGCGCACAAGACACTTAATTTGGCTTAAAATACAGAAATTCTGACAAATAAGTAACTGTTCATAACCTTACCTCAGGCAAAGGGTGTCGGTCTTTTCTGCTCAGATTCAGCTATCGGAGCATGAAGCTAATGTTTACTTACAATGCTAATGCTACCCTTTCTCGCTGGTGCTCAAGAGGTAGAGTAGCCAAATGGCTGGCTCACTGCTGCTAACTAGTGGTCAGAGGCTGAACTACAACATAAAAATGAACGGCTGTCAGGAAAGTTGACGTTTTAAACCTTAATAAAAAAATCGATACAGGGCTTTAGAATATCGATACAGTATTAGGAAATGAAATATCGCGATATTTCAGTGTACAGTTGTGGTCAAAAGTTTACATACACTTGTAAAGAAACATAATGTTATGGCTGTCTTGAGTTTTCAATAAGTTCTACAACTCTTATTTTTCTGTGATAGAGTGATCGGAACACATACATGTTTGTCACAAAAAACAGTCATAAAATTTGGT